TATATATTGCAATGCTTTACGTTTAAAATGAAGGGTAGAGAGAACCCTCACACAAAATTTAACTTATATATAACATATTTTGTCCTCATCACCTTCAAACAAAATTATTAAACTCTGGAAAATAACATTTAAACAATATTTAAGTTATAACACCTGTAATTTTAACTATCAGAAATATTTTAGGTTCAAAAGCAAGGTAGAAAACACCCTTGCAAATAATATTAGATTTTGTTTTCGTCCTCTTCGAACAAAATTCTCAAAATCTGAGAAATGAATTTTGAAAAATATACAAGTTGTAATACATGCAGTGCCATCTAGTGAATGGTTGCTGTCTCTAAAGCATCTAATATTCAGTGTCTGTTTTAGATTCAAAAGGGTGTGAGCAACATCCTTACAGAAAATTTGACTACACATTTTAACCCGTCTTCTACAAAAGAAATTTCAAAATCTGGCAAACGAATTTTGAATAGTATGCAAGTTATATCTATTTTGTTTTAGAAAATGCAAAGTTTTAGGTTCAAAAACAAAGGTAAAGTACACCCTTGCAAAAAATATGACTACAGATACTTTATCCCCGTCTTCTCCAAAGAATATTATCAAACTCTGGTAAATAAATTTTGAAAAATAAGCAAGCTGTAACACCTATAATTTTTACTGTGAGAAATTGCAATGGTTCAAAAAGAAGGATAAAGACAACCAATAATTACAATCAATAATTATTGGTTGATGACTGTTGTTCTGAACTGCTTGAGGAACTAGAATGTAATTGATTTGAACTGAATTGACGATTATGAATCCTAAAAAAAAACACATTTATTGTTATTAAGACTTATTGTTATTAATATTTAAATATTTCTTTAAAAAGAATTTACTTTGAATAAAATAATAAGGGTTGTTTTGGTATCCTGAACAATGTTCGCAGGTACGAGAAAGGACAGGGAGAAGGAGGCNATGGTTATGTTTCTTATTTAAAACAATATCATAATTATAATATTAATGTGTAGATACTATATATATCTTAAAGGATTTTAAAATAACGTTAAAAATGGATCTCATGAAAAACCTTTTAGATCCAAATCAGTCACTACAAAGTATGAGAATTAAAGTGAAAAGTGCACCTGTGAAAATTATACAAAAGTGTGTATCAGATGAAGAGGATGAACTAGAAGATTACAATAAGAAATTAGAAGAATCCAGAACTACAGATTATGCTAAAGAGTATCAGATGAAAGAAGAACTGTTATATATGGAAAGCTACAAATCATACCCTGTATTTATTTGCATGCCACATCTCACATTATATGAAATTAATACAAAAATGTTTTAGGAAAATGATGGGGATATGTCTCAAGTCGATCATGCTGATGATATGTTATCAAATGATGATAGAGAAGAAGTTACAAGACTAAAGGAAGAGCAGTTGGTTGAAATTTATACAAAATATTCTTTTAATAACTACAAAACAGAAGAACTTAGTATAGATCCATTTCGATCAAAAGTAATGTTTTTGAGAGTGTGAAAAATAAATTTAACTACATGTACACATCTATTTTCAGATTCTATCTTTTATTTATGCAAATCAAGTTTTAATAATTCAGGGTCACACTGGATGTGGTAAGTCAACCCAAGTTCCTCAATTTATTCTAGACGACTGCAAAGCCAATAATAAATACTGTAAAATTGTGGTCACACAACCTCGACGAATTGCTGCAGTTAGTGTGGCTAAAAGAGTATGTGAAGAAAGGGGATGGGCTTTAGGAACAGTTTGTGGATACCAAGTAAATAATTCTTTTATTTCACATTAAATTAGAAATAAAATTATAATATATTTACAGGTTGGTTTAGAAAAATGTGTATCAAGTGAAACACTGCTGATGTATGTCACCACAGGAATTTTACTTCAAAAGTTAGTCAAGCAGAAAAATCTTCACGAATTCACTCACATAATAGTTGATGAGGTACATGAAAGAAACCAAGATATGGATTTTTTGTTGCTTATAATTAGAAAATTTCTTTATACCAGCACTACAAATGTGAAAGTAAGTTGCTTGAGAGAAAATTTACAACAGAAGTAATGGTAATTTTGTTTAATAGGTCATCTTAATGTCTGCAACAATTGATACAGATGCATTTGCATATTATTTCCGAACACCTAGTAGAAATGCTGTGATTGAAGCACCAGTTTTCAATATTCCTAAACAGACAGCGAAATATAATAATACTATCTATTATGCAGATCAATTAAAACCATTAGGAGAGGTATACTTATGATACCCATATATCATGTTGCCTAAAATATTTTTCTACAGATACCTGCTTTTAACTTTAGTGAACCTAAAATAGATCCTTCATTGTATACAATGAGTGCTTATTTAGTAAGGGCTCTTGATCGGTTAGATCCTGTATCTGATGATACTAAAATGCCAATTATAGGAAACGTTTTGGTCTTTTTACCTGGTATATTAGAAATCGAGGAAATGCATAAAGAATTAGAGTTGAAGAAAAACTGGTAATATAAATATATAGAATTACTTTTTTTATTACAGAAGGTGAATCACATAAACAGAAATAGTTTGTTAATTACTAGATTGAAGACTTTTAAAAATAATTCTATACAAAGACAAACTGAAATTTCAATTTAACTCCTAAGTTTACCACAAATTTTGCTCATTTTAATACGATTAGTACACTGAAAAATTATAAGTATAATAGTAATAACTGCACAATGGAAATGTCCTAAAAATTCTGTTTAGTGCATTAAAATTAAATTTGCATAGTACACTATTTAAATATATAAAACAAATAAATATCTTATTACAAATTTGAATTAGTATTAGTACTCGTTTGCAACTGTTTGAATTAAATATTTTAAATGATTCAAATAAATCAATAAATTTAGTCATTTATGATATGCCTCTTTTTTTAGCGAAACTTTATATTGTATTATTAACGACTTTGTTCTTTTTAAGGACTTTTAAAACTGATGAAGAGCAAGTATCTAAGCCTCCAACCATTAAATGGAGTATCTTACCTCTTCATTCTTCCGTAACAATGGAAGAACAAAGGAAAATATTTTTACCACCTCAACCTGGATTCAGAAATATCATACTATCTACCAATATAGCTGAAAGTTCTCTTACTGTTCCGGGGATTATATATGGTAAATTCACTATAAAATTAAATTTTTATGATGCTACATTTTTCTTATCACACTTTTGTATTTGATATCAAAGGCAAGGGATATGAAAATACGATTTTTGTTTATGAATCTCGTGTTTCATTACTTTTCATTTTAAACGATGTGTTTACTATTTCAGTAATCGATTTTTGTTTGACTAAAACTATGGTGATTGATCCTCATACACAGTATCAAAGCTTACAGCTGCAATGGGCCTCCCAGGACAATTGTGAGCAGAGGGCGGGTCGTGTAGGTCGCGTGGGACACGGAAGAGTCTATCGAATGGTGTCCATTGCATTTTATTCGGTAAAATATCGCACAGTTTAAATTATATTGAGTTATTTTTTGGAAATATTTTTTTAGCAACTTTCCAAAAGTGCTGTCCCTGAAATACTGAGAGCACCATTAGATAGGATAGTTTTAGCAACAAAACTGTTAAACCTTAAAGAACCGCCAAAGGCGATTTTGGCGTTAGCGATGAACCCCCCCGATTTAGGAAATATAGAGTCGACTATTTGGAATTTAAAAGAGGTATAAAAACACTGTCGATTTTGTTATTTTTCTAAATAAAAAAATTACAGGCTGGTGGACTATTAATGACGTGTAATGGACAAAAAATGGCATCAGATGGAGATGTAACATTTTTAGGTCATGTGATGGCAAATTTGCCCCTTGATATACATTTATCCAAATTCATCGTTTTAGGCCACATGTTCAGTTGTATGGACGATTGTATTGTAATGGGTAATTATTTTTTACAATATTCCAGATGTTTAAGAATTATAGAACGTAAATGTGCAGAATATTTGCGAAATAAGAGCTATATTAAAATTCAGTAGACACTCAATAGTGTGAACACAGCATGACGGAAATACCTCATAATGATTATATCAGCCCCCCCACCGTATACCACGAACCTTTTAGAAATGAATGTCCATTTTCGGCATTGATATTGCGTTATTGTTGTAAATCTCTAATACCCCAATGCACTTGATACTTCCCTATACTTGTATCAGTTGGAAAAGTGTTATATTCTTGAATTCACTTTCTATATGTTTATAGTTCTTTGTTAGTAGTTGTATTGTCATCGTCCTGCAATTCTTTAATCCATGAGCTTAGTTTCATTACATAGAGTTATACAAGCTTTAAATGTAGTAAGCCAATGGGCAGAAGTGAGTAGTGTTAACATTACTGACCTGAAGGTTACGAAAAAGCTAATAAGAGAAAAAACAATATACAAAATATAAAAAATCCTCAAAAATAAGCAAAAATATCTAATTTCATTACTGTTTTGTGTATTTGTTGCTGCCTTTAAATGAGTGTGTATTAATATTATATATTTGTGTGTATGTTTATTTTGTTTATTATCTATTAATGTAAGGGAATCTATAATGTGAAGAACTACTGTTTTTCCTAGTTCACATTATCGAGTGTATGCCTACTGTATCGCTCAATGTCATAATTAATATAGAATTAGAGAATTACTTAATATTTATAGCATGTGGCATGTCATTAAATCGAATATTTTCAACACCATTTATGGAATATTTAAAATCTTATACGAACCGTTTACAATGGGCTGACGGTTCTAGCAGCGATTTAATTGCATATTTAAATTTATACAGAGTAAGTAAATTTTAATATAAATCCAGAAAGGTATGCTTATTATTATTTTTTAATTTTTAAGGTATGGCAAAAAATGAAACGCACTACGCTACGAAAGAGACAAGATGAAACTCGATGGGCTCTGAGTAACTACTTGAGTATTAGAGCATTGAAGGAATGGGAATACTTGGTTGAAGAGGTAAAAGAACGGACTAAAACAATGGGAATGAGAGACACATTTGGTCCTGCACGAGTGCGTTTATCCCCCATTGAATTGCCTATTGTCCTGAAGGTAAAGTGGAATAATGACAAAGTATAATACTAATAAATTCGTTACTTATCAATAAATAGTTTAAAATTAAATTACACTTACTGAAAGTATTATTTTTATTTTATTATCTACTAATAAAATAATAAGAGATAAATTCATTACAGGTTCTAATCTGTGGAGCTTTTTACCCAAACTACTTTAGAAGATCAGCTGACGCTGGTCAAGTGGATGAAAGAGAAGCAGTTAAACTTTTGAATGGGCAAGACCCTTGTAATACTGTCTATTTTAATAGTTTTGATCCTTATCAACCTGGACCCCTTTATGCACAGCGTATCAAAGAAATTTTCACTAAAAATTTAATCACTCGTTCAACTTCAAATATTAAAGTAACCTTTGACAGCAGCAGGCAAGTACACAGTGACTCTTTACAAATAAAAAAAAGTCCAAAGTAAAAAATTAGTTTTTGAAATACAAATACAGTTTAAATTTTTTAAGTATTCATTAATTTTATAGTTTCTTTTTTTACTTTATAAACTGTATCTCTAGAAAGAAAGCACAAAAAAAGAGCCAAGTCAGCATGTTTTAGTCCCATTTATCTAAAGATTTTATTCAAACTTTCATTTATAAGCAAACATTCCCTAAATAAGCAGAAAGTTGATTCTGCTTCACAGTATAATTAATATCTATTTTTATCCTTTTTTGCTTTTTTTACAGTAAGGTATATGTATCGTTCATAAATAGCAAGGAACCAATGTATACTGTTGTGGAAAACCAAGAATTTGTTTCAAAGATGCCAGGAAAAATCGAAGTCGAAGTATATCGTGCGGTTCGAATGAGACAGTTAAATATTAAAACTTCTATTAAAGTTCTGAAGTAAGCCATTAAGTAAAATGTAAATCATACTTATATATAGTTAGTTACTAGTGGATTTTTATCTCGTTAGCATTATTGGTATTGTAATTTTATTGTAAAGATATCCTTGATTTTAGACGCGAAGAATCATGGAAAATCGCCAAAAAATTTGGAATTGATTCAGAATCTCAACAAAAAGGCTATGTGAACTTAATAAAGAAAAACAACGCGTTAGATCAACCTATTTTACCAAGTGTACATAATAAAACCATACGTATTAAAATATCAGAGGTAATATTAAAGATATAATGGTATCTCTTTAAGTAATGGTATTCTAATTAAAAAGAAGATTACCTTAAATAATATTTTAGACAATTGATGCAGGTCATTTTTGGGCACAATATGCTGACGATAGTTCTGACCACACACTTGAATGCATTTTTAATTATTTAAATCGGACAGAATTAAAACCTGCAAACCCCTCAGAATTAAAGATGGGTGAAATATATGCCACAAAATATACAGTTGATAACTATTTTTATCGCTGTAAAATATTGGGATTTAAAACTATCGTAGGATCCAAATTAACCGGCATCACAAGAAATGTTAAGGTATTTTATTAGATGAATAAAAAAGTTCTGAAAATTTAAAACGATAAAAACCATTATTTATAAATGAAAAGAATATGTAGTAAATGTGTTTACAGTTATAATTTGATTACTGGTTCATTTTTAAATTGACAAAGAAATATGGGTATTATTAATTTTTGATTGTAATTATTAAAACTTAAATAAAATTAATTTATTAATAGGTGATATTTATTGATTATGGAAACACCGCTGTTGTGACAGAGAATAAACTGTATCTCCTTCCTGAAGAGGCTGATAAAATATCACCACAAGCAATGGAGTGTATGCTAAGTGAAGTACAGCCTTCTTTAGTATTAAATCCAAGAGCTATTTGGACTGATCAGGCTAGTAGAATGTTTGAACATTACACTAGAGACATCGTATTAACAGGGCAGGTAAATATAAATTAATATATTAAAAGATTTTGAGTAGATTTTAATGTAAAATTAATTCTGCAGGTTTATTCAGTTGTTAATGGAGTTGTTCACTTGGAATTGTATAGAACAAATAACCTCAACCAACCGTCCATTAATAAATGGCTGATTGATAAAGGATTTGCTCAGAAGGCAGAAGAAAGCTTTCTTTCTAAAGTAAGAAATGGACCATTTGATGAAATGTGTAAATGAGTTTATTGTTTTAGGAAAATCATATTAAGAGGATTCAAGCACAGTCAGATGAAGGTGGTGTATTATCAGCCGAAGATAATGATATGTACGAAAAAGTTATCGAAGATATTACCCCACCATCTGAAGAAACCTGTTCAATTGAAGTAAAGTTAAAAGGACCTTTTAGCCCATTAGAAATGAAGATTTATAGTACCGTAGCTAGTGGTATTGATAAACACGTTAGAATCGATGGAAATTCAGTTAACACTGTTCTATTAGATACTGATCCCCAAGACCCTCATGAAAGGTTGATTTTTTGGTTTTTCCCATAAAATTTAAAATTCCGTTATTATTATTAGTATTTGTCTGGTATTTTTTTACTATTTTAGTAAATGTAATAATTTAATTATTTAAAGGCTGGTTATTTAAAGTGTATTTTTAAAATTATAGATTAGTTGTGGCTGCCCAAGTAGACCAAAATGCCTCAGGAAATGCGCTAATTTTACGACATACTACGGTTATGCCAAATATTCATGGTTTTCCAATGCTTATGACTCTTTTATTTTGTCCTACAATGGAATGTAAACCAACCGCTGACGGAAGAAAAGTGGCTGCAGTATTATGTGGACTAGGGGCTCACGAAATCACTAATAAATCTCTCTATCCCCCTCATGATCTGTTTTTAACTCTTGATACAGAATTAACCGAAGATGACTTAAATATGGTAGGCATTTCAAGTTAATTATGCAAATTTAGTGATGCTGTATTATATCAGCAACTTTTATACCTTACAATACTGTCTGAGCTTAATTTTCTAGGTGAACGAACTCCGATATTGGATGAATGTAACGATGAATACCATGGAGGACTTGTATAATGAGACGACGCCTTCAGTCGAAATAGAAACCTGCCAATCAGAATTGAAATCTCGACTATTTGGGCGAGTATTATTTCACTTTGTTTCTTTTCTTCATCTAATTTGAAATTTGCATATTAGAAAGTAATGAGTGAGTCTTTTCCTATTTATTACTTTTCTTATTCAAAAGTATTTATAGTAGAAAAGTAAATATAAATAAAACTTTTGGTATCTATAGTTTGCTTAAAAATCCACGAAAAGATACTGAAAGAGAATTTGTGAAATATGCAAATATTTGGGGAAAACTGTTGTATGATGCTGAACAACTGAAACCCGGAGACGACGGTCTTATGACGGAAGATACGATTTGGCCGCTTCATTCTTTTATTCTATTAAACAGAGAGGTTGAGCAGCAAGTTCAACTAAAAAGCAATTTGACTGAAATGGAGGACATGGCTAGACGGTAAGATGGAAATCATACTAGAACAAAATATGTGCTTTATCTGTCGAATTTATTTGCTTTTTGAAGTTCTGTACCTTAGTAAGATAGTTTGTGCGTTAATTATACAATTTTTTATAAAATGTGAATAGTAGATGATTTTTAAATATTGATAAAATAACTATAAATTTAAAAAAAGATGTAACTAGGAAAGTATTTTAAACTTCTTTAATATTTATTTGAATTTTTTTTCAGAATGGTACAAATGAGTACAATAACTTGTAAAGCCTGCAACATTACTGTTTACAGTATTGAAGAGCTGAGAATTCACCTTGCACTAGAGAGTCACAAGAAAAATGCCGTTAATTTTGCGTAAAAACGAGTTTCTTTTGCTTTATATGTTAAAATTTATATTTACTTTAACGATTGTTTTCGATTATTTTTTTCCAGTTGTACTGTTGAGTTTTCAAGTGAGATTAGTTCGTTAGTTAAGTAAACAAACTGAGATTTTTACTTTTTTTTTAATAAAACTTTATTCAAAAAAAGTTATACTATTACATACAGAGTTTGTGTCGACCAGAGAAACCTGAACTTGCTTTCCTTTAAATTTCAATGAATAGCGTTTATATACTCTTACCAGGAACTTGAACATTTTCGCGCAAAATTTTCACGAAATCATATATATATTCTCATAACGACCACTTTAGACATTCTCATCAGCCTTGCGACCGACCGTCCCTTCAGATTGATGTATATGTACCTGGGCTCTATTATTTTCGAATTGCAGTAACTGTTACATTAATACTAATATCTACTTTACGCTTTTAAACGTGTTTTTATCATTAATGCTTCATATTTTCATTTTAACAAAAGTTTCAATATCCTCTATTTGTTGAACTATCGAGTACTGTTTTTTCTGTTACAATTTTTTTAGATTAGTTTTTATCGAATAAACAACGAATGAATTCGTGTTTATGAAAGAAGCTGACAGTGTTTAAAAAATAGATTTAATTTCGAAAGAAAGAACTAAAGCATTTAAATGTGATAAAGAAAAAGACAGTGAATTGATTTATTGAAAGTTCGGTGTTGTAACTTAAAAAAAAGAATACATTAATTGTTTATGCTAGTTTGTTAAAATTATATAAACACACAATATAATATACATTGTGTAAGTTATATTTACAACAATTTCTTCAGATAAAATTTAATGTGCAACGTAGTTCCTTATACTTTCTTAACGTCCCCTGTACATCATCTATTATTCACTTACGTTACTATAACTGTTACCAACATAAAAACATTTGCTGACATTTACCAAAGTGATTTTAGTTGTTTGGTTGGAAGTAAAATATCTCAGATATTTGTTTTTGTCGTAGGTGAGGTGCCAAAATTTCGTAAAAGAAAAGTCAAAAGTGCAATAAAGTGTTTTTATATCATGGCAAAAACCTACGACTATTTGTTTAAACTTTTATTAATTGGTGATTCTGGTGTCGGGAAAACGTGTGTACTTTTTCGATTTTCGGAAGATGCTTTCAATACAACTTTTATATCGACTATAGGTGAGTCATTTTCAGCATCGTTAAAGACGCCGTTCTTAAAAATTACAGGTTAATGATTCGGAACAGTAAATGAAAGAATGTACTAATTTAAACATTTAATAAAAATTAAATAACGTACCTTTTCAATTTGATAGAATTTGTATACTTACCACACCTTCAAGTTCATGAACTTTGTAGTGACAGTTTATTTTATTTAATATTACATTTATGTATTGCCAATTTGTCTAATTTAAAGGCGTTTATATGTATTTTGTTTCAATTTTATTTAACGAATACCTACACCAATTGTAAAAAATTTAATTTATATAATGCATATAACAAATACAATAGAATGCCTACAAAACAGCTTCCAAATTAAGTACTATTTAGTCTCAAGCAGTTCACAGCCTGAAAACAAGCAATTAATTAAAAAAATTAATGACCTCACTTAATTATTCATAATGTTTCTGCTGAATAATGTAACAACTCATTGCTTTTTAAATTAATGAGTATAAATTTTATGCCTAGTTTTAGGTATTTTTTAGATTATTTTTAATCTTTTTAAATTTTTCTTTGGGATCTC